GGCCCAGCTCGCCGGACACCGCACCCCCCCAGAAAGGCCCAGCTCGCCGGAACCGGCTTCCGCTTTACAGATAAGGCTTCAGCAGGAAGCGGCAGCCCAAGACACACAGGGGTATCCCGGCCCCAGCTGAAAGCAGATTGGCCCCCAGTGTGCCCCCCACCTCAAAAAGATCTCAAATCACCCTAGCTTGGATGCCTAAGGCTGCTTGAAAGAGTACAGAAGTCTGAAAATATAAATCTGAAGAGCAAAGCCCCAATTTCTGCTAGGTATTATCTGTAAATACTTATTCTGCGCTTCCCTCATGGGAACAGGCAGTGAAAACGTCTGCCAGACTATGTCATTTCCTTCCCAAACTGGGCTCTGGCTTGCGATTTCCTTTGATAATCCAGCCACACTGGCACAGTAACTGTTTTTAAAATGCTGAGAACATTGGATTTTCTCTTTGTTTATGTTCTTGACTTTTGCGTGGTTATTTTAACCGAGTCCCTGATTCCAAGCGGAGGTGGTAGGTGCAGTTGTTGCTAATGGCAACGTCTGGTGCCATCGCTGGTATGTTGTCTCCGGTTCAGGATCCACAGGACATCAGGGGCAGGGAGAGGAGGAGGAGGAAGAGCAAGAAGAGGAGAATGAGCAGTGGGGAGAAGAAACAGAGGAGCAGGGAGAGGAGGATGAGGAGCGGGGAAAGGAGGATAATTGAGTAAAGGTGGACAAAGAACAGAGAGGATGAGGAGGAGCAGGGAGATGATGAGAGAAATGAGGAGGGGGGAAGAGGAGGATCGGAGAGAGGAAGAGGGGTAGGGAGAGGAGAAGGAAGAGCAGGGGAGGAGTAGGAGGAGTAGGGAGAGGTGAAGGAGAATGAAGAGTGAGAAGAAGAGGAAGAGAACTAGGGAGAGAAGGAGAAAGAGGAGGAATAGGAGTGGGGAGAAGAGGAGGAAGAACAAGGATTAGAGGAGGAATGCGGAGAGGAGGAGCAGGGTGCAGTGGGCCACTGACCTCGGGTATCCTCTTGATGTCACAATGAACTGTTTCGATGCATTTAATTGGCTGTCCAAAACATGGACTCGAAACACACACCTCACACCTCCTCACGCCTCCTTGCACCTCCTTGCAGTCCGATGTTGTATGGCCTTACCCTCTAGAAAGAAAGGCCGTCTCCTCCTGTTCCAATCTGGCAACAGGGCAGCCACCCACGAGAGGCGGGGCCTGACCATCTGGACCAGGCTGGTGGAAGGCTGGAAGCTGAGCTCCATGCTCTCATCGATCCCGATGACGGTCCCCAAGCGCTCAGCACACGTTTCTCAGGACTGTAGGTGAGGGAGGAGCTTTGGGCATTTTAGAGCACATTACACTCAGCAACAGTGACTCAGTTGGGGGATACATGTCTGTTTTTGGGAAGAAAAACTCCGAATGCAGTAACCCGATGACAAAGGGGGACCTGTACGCTTCAGCATGTGATGGGCTGCGTTGGGTTTGCGTGGCGATCACAGTGTCGTACCACTTCATGCATCCTGCACTGAAGCGGCCATTATACCCATCTCAGGCTCCAGAGGGCTGTTTGCCGGGGTCCCGAAACAGAGCTGCCTGTCAGCGCCGTGAAAGAACGCCCGCCGCCCTGGATCCGTCACGGGCCGCTGGGGTCTCCATGACTCAGACTTGGAGGGAACAGAAGATCCTGGGCAGGGGGGCGGGGGTGTGTGAATACAAGCGTCTGTCCTGGGCGTCCCACATGCGCTGCTCGTTATGTCACGGGGGGCCATCGGTGGTGCTAAAGGAGGGGTTAAACTGTTTATCTCTGAAGGAAACATTTTTTTTAGCAGATTGACGTTGATGGATGAAATTCACAGTGGCAAGGCTATCTGGATAGAAGGAGACACACACACTTTGCCTGTGTATGCTGTAGTACCCTTCCTGATTGCTGTGCACTAGCCACTGTCAGGTGCCTGTGTATGCTGTAGTACGCTCCCTGATTGCAGTGCACTACCTACTGTCAGGTGCCTGTGTATGCTGTAGTACGCTCCCTGATTGCAGTGC